TTGTAAACAATATTCATTAAATGTTGAAATGTATGTCAGAGAAAAAAATAGCTAGTACAGTAAATAATCAATTTTTCAGACCTCAATTTAAGGGACAAAATTTCCGGTCCATATGTTATATGTGAACATTAGTACCCTGTTGATGTTAAAAATGCTTTCAACCAAGGTTTTCTTATAATTAAACTAACAAGTTATTTTTTTGTTATTAATTCACTGTTATTTTTAACAAATTTTAGTGAAGAGTCTGTATGTTAGAAAAAACACTGTAGTAATTTTGCAGACATAAATAAATATTACATATCTACTAGTACAACTATAGTCTACATATTTAAATCCAGGAGTCACCACTGGTAAACAATGTTCTGCAAATGATTAGCACGTGATCACACAGCATCACGAGTGATAATTGGTTAATTGGTTCTGTTGTCACATGGCATGACTTTCTGCAGTAGCTTTAACATGTGCCAGCTGATGTTCCCATGTGCACTAAGCCACACCCCAGCCCTGAGCATTTGTTTACTCACAGTGGTGAATGCATGCATGCATTTACTAGACCCAATCAGTATAAATTTAAAATTACTGTAATACATATAAAAACTTTTCTGTGAAATCAAACTTTTCATAAACACTTAATTTTAATTATACAACTGTATCTACATAACTAAAAACAGGTAAGCTAAGTGATTTGTCTATTTTTTTAACATAGGAATTCAGAAAACCTACTTCATTCTGTAATGGACTTTTGGCTATAATGGACACCCTCATGCCTGAATTAGTCCATTATATCAAGTTATACTGTACATGGTCTTTAAAAATAGTTCAGTATGCTCTGTGAGTGACAGAAGTAATTTGTTTTGTGTAAAATGACCACACAATGCAAACAGTCTTATTGACTCAAATTCGGCTACCCTATTATTAACTAGTCACAAATGTTTACCTGTTTTGACCAGATTCTTTTGATTACTTAGTAATTTCATTCAACAATTACAAACCTGTTGCTTATATAGACACACTTTTCCTGGTCTTTCTGTTGAACTGAATTAGAACTGGTTCCAATCTTTAAAGATTTTTTTCTTATATTGCTAACTCAGTAAAGTGTCCAAAGAGCATTGAGTATTTATTCTCTTTATTGCTATTATAAAATTTTAATATGCACTTCCATATGTTTTTATTATAGTGAGAAATATAAGCATGCATAGGTAAAATTTAGCATGTATAACTTAACGGTATGCAATGTTTAGAATTATTATTTTCCACATCTTACAAACCCTCTAGAATAGTATTATATCACCTTGGAAATACAGCTACTGATAGTTTCAAAAAGTTATATTTCTACTAAAGTAAACATGAAAGTACCTTGTGATTAATCAATCCCACTCCTGGGTATTGTATCCGAAGGACATGAAATCAGGATCTCAAAATTATCTGCACCCCTATGTCAATTGCAGCACTATTTACAATAGCCAAGGTATGTAAACAACCTACGTGTCCCTCAACAGATGACTGGATAAAGAAAATGTGGTACATATATACAACCGAATATTCAGCCATTAAAAAGAAGGAAATCCTGCCATTTGTGACAAAATGGATGAATCTGAAAGGTATGATGCCAGTGCTAAGTGAAATAAGCCAAAGAAAGAAAGATATTGTATAAACTAACTTACATGAGGAATCTTAAAAAAAGTAAAAAGGAATATCATGGAAGCAGAATTGAATGGAGGTTGCCAGGGGTTGGGGTGAGAGGGACATGGGTAATGTAGGTCAAACGTACACATTTTCAGTTGTAAGAAGTACTTAGAGTCTAATGTAGCGCATGGTGACCATAGTCAGTCAGATGGTATTGTATGCTTAAAAGTTGCTGAAAGTAAATTTTAAACATTCTCACCACATAAATTAAAAAAAGTTAACAGTGAAATATGTGAGGTGATAGATGTATTCATTGTCTTGCTCTTGGGAATCATTCTACACTGTGTATGTCTATCCAGTCATCCCAATGCATGTATACTTTAAATATATACAATTATACTTGTCAAGTATTTTCCAATAAAGTTAAAATTAAAAGAAAATCATCTCTGCTTATTAATGCTTCCATGTTTATGTTTAAAAGTACATATATGATGTTCACATCTTAGGGGATAAAATATGTAGCAGATCATATTTATCATATACCTGGAATAAAATCATAAATATGGTATATTAGTTTAAAACAGCAAGAAAAGGCTACCATGCACACTGAAGATGTATTCCAGTGGTGTGTTTTATCCCACCACCATTTATATTTATGTTCTATTAGAGATCAATACTTAGGACAAATGGAAGGAAGGGAACTTGAATGATCTCAGCCTCCTTTTCCCATTTAAAAAAAAATTAGAATACTTTCCTCTTAAGCTCTATGTGACCATCTGTCAGCTGCAGGGTGATGGTGGGTGTTAAACTGTGTGTTACATCCTAGATAATATCCAACATGTAATGGATGCTCAATAAATGGTTGACATTGTGATTGTCTATGGGGATGTACCTATACTGAAAAGAGTCTACTGTTCTACTAATCGTAACAATTACTAATAACGTGGAAATGGGGCAGAAAAAAGTAATCTCTGTGATAACTAGAAAACATTTTCACTTTTAAATCTAGTGACATTCTAAAATATTTTCTAAGCATTTTTATGGACTTAAATCTATCACGACTTAAATGTCTCCTTACAGATAGAACAATCAATCCATCAGTAGATAAATAATGTTCCATCTCTATCAATCTGCTAGTTTTCACAATTATCAAGTTCTTTCTAAAAATAGCCTCAAGCCTATATTTAAACCAGACCTGTTTTTCGCATATAAAATGCTTACTGCTCTAATTCTGTGATTGAGCTTACCATGTAGATGAGCAGTTTATTTATAGAATTTAAACATGTTTGTTGACACCTGGAAAAGTTTTGCTTTTATTATCCAAAAGGTGATGATAATAATCTGGTTCATGTGTGTTTGCATTCGTATTAGTTAGAAGAAATGCTTATAATGCAACCTTTAAGGCAGTTGCTTAACAGAGATGTTATTTAAAGACGTATAGATGTGTGAGAGGTATTGGTACTTCATTAGCATTCCCACTTGGTCTGATTTTCAGTCTGTGCCTCACATATCCTCCAGAGACCCAGCGTCCTTTGTTACTTGTGCTTGCATTCAAATCAGAACTCTCTATGATGGAATGCTAGTGCTGTGCTTATTGTGGCAATAAGAGATTGTAAAATTGATGCAATATTGGACTAACGTAACTATCTGAAAATAAGAATTAACAATCTCCATTGTGTTAACCTCACAAAAATGGTAGCAAAATATAATGGTTTTGGAGAAGTTTCCTGACAAAGTCCAGTGCATCTGACCAGTATGTTTTTAAAATGTTAAAGCAAAACACTTGATTTTCAGCAAATATCTTAGGAGGATAATAGATTTGGGGGCTATTTTATATTTTGTGCTATTTTGCACGTGAAGTAGAAAACATTTGGCTGGACAGTTCCTTTCATCGGATTTTTACACCCCTAATTATAATGATCTCAGGTAATACAATGGGATTGTTTCCACCTTACCCTGTCTTCTTCCACATCCATTTAGGTTGAACTGATTTGGAGTTCTTCTGTGCCGAGGGTTCTAATGGGGGGAAGAGTCTTGTGAGAGTCTGTGGGGACTGAGGCTTGAATACATCCTACCTGAAAAGACCCATATAGGGTAGAACCAGAACCCTGGCTGAAATCTCCATAAGAAAGAGGGTTAGGTGCTAAGTGCGGAGGAATAAGAAATACTTTTGCTCTGTTCTTATGTGTAGCATTGGCCAATTTATTTTGATCAGCCTATCAGCAAAGAGATACTGTGCAAGTCAAAGGATTAAGTATTTTTTAAAGATGTTTTTAAAAGTGAATGCACAGTTACATACTGCCTTTGTTTGCAGGAGGCATGGAGTGTACAGCCCAGGGTTCCGCAGACAATGATGCTGGGAGAACCTGACTGCAGCATTTATCATTTCAGCAGAGATGTTTGTGAGAGCAAAGATCAGGGGGCGAGGGTGCAAAGAAAGATCGTTTATTTTTGTATTTTTTGCAGAGGCCAGGAGTGCTTTTGAGGGTTAAAGAGGACTCAGCAAACCCCATCCTTGTCCCTAGGGGCTCCCCCGCGCCTTCGGAGCCCGCGGCAGGGAGACCCCAGCGCCCATAGGTGGCGCCCCACGTCCGTGCTTGCGGTCGCCGCGCTCTGGGCGCAGCTCGGAAACCCCGCGCGTCTCCCCAAGTCCTTAGAGCTCAGAGCAGGCATTTTAATAAATAAGCGCGAGTGCCAACGCGCTCCGGGAGCCCGGAGGATCTGAGGAGCAGCGCAGAAACCCCGGCGGAGGCACCTCCTTGATCCCTGCCAAATCCTGACATTTCCCAAACTGGAGACTCCGGAACCACAGCCGCCCTAACCCATTCGAATCCCAAGCCTTTTCCTCTCCATTCTTTTCTTCTGTTTCTTCTCTCTCCTCTTCTCTCTCTCTCTCTCTCTCTCTCTCCTTTCTCTCTCAATAAAACTGCTTCCCTTCCCTCAACCCCTTTTCAATTATGAAAGTGGTCACGCTGCTCAGGATTAAGATTTGGAGGGAATTTGGAAAAGAAAAGAAAGAATCAAAAATCAGAGGTGCGACCAGTGCTTTGGACGGTGCCTAATTTTTGAAAGAGGCGTCAGGGAGGATTTCGCTCTGGGTGTCAGGGTGAGAGCCGAATCTAGGCGGTGGAGGGTGCGGCGGGGGTGCGGGAGCGAGTGCTGAGCCGGGAGGGCGCCTTGAGTGCTCGGAGACCTCGTGGCGTTTGGCTGAGCCGCCCGGAGACGGGGGCAGGCTGGGCTGTGGGGCTGGGTGGGAGGAGAGAGCCGCGCAGCGGGCGCAGGGGCGGTGCAGACCCGGTGCGGAACGCGTGCCGGCCGGGTGC